TTTGAATTAAATTCTACTAAGTAGGTAAGAAAATCGGGGCCGGAGGATTTATTTATTCTAGCACGTTTTCTACGTCTGGCTTTGGCTTCATCTCCAGACCCCTCACTTGTATTTTTATTGTGCACATACCCAATAAAAATACAATCACCGTTTTTGGACCTATTTTTATTTTGTTAGGTGTTGGTACAAGCACCTTTGCAAGACACCCCCACACTTTTAAATATTGATAGGAAGGTTTTCTACCTTTCCACAACTCGTAAGGAGTTTTATCACATTTTTTCCAGGGTACCTTATTTAAAAGGTAGTTGCTTCCCAAGACTGCTCCGCCACACACATTTTGTGGCAGGCCCAAACTTACTAGCATCACATTCATCATATCTTTCAATGTGTGATTCTTTTGTTCGGCAACACTGTTTGATTGGGGTGAATACGGTGTTGTACGTTCATGTACTATACCCATGCTCGCGCAAAAGTCACCTATTAGTGCTTCATACTCACCACATCGATCATTTCTAACTATATTAATCCGTCTATGAAGTTGGTTTTCCACTTCATTCTTATAAAGAATGAATTTATCGATTGCTTCGTGTTTATTTTTCAACAAATAAAAATAGCAATAATGAGTGTTGTCATTGATAAAGGCAATAAAATATCTATTACCGCAAAGTGTTTGTATTGATTTAAATAAAAAAACGTCACTGTGAAATAATTCAACTTGTTCCATTTTTCTTTCAATTGATTTGAAAGATGTTTTCGTTAGTTTTGCTTCAACACAAATTCCACATTTGTGCTTCACATCAATTTGAATTTAGGGTTGTCTTCCATGTCAACTAATCTACATATAGATTCAAAATTAATTTGTCCTAGTCTACCATGCCATAAATGGGATGACTCAACCAAGTAAGCAGAAGGAATTTCATTATTATTATTATTATTATTAGTCATTGCATTGAGCTTAAACAACCAGTCAACAACATATTCCTTTCCCACACACATTCCTGATTTGGACAAAACTAACTTGTCTTACTCAAAGACCATGCAAACATCGTGTTTTTTCAACAATGATCCAAAACTAATATTTTTGCGTATTTCTGGAACGAAAAACATCTGGTTAAGAGTCAGCTCCTTGTCTGAAGTCATCTTCAAGACTACCTCACCTACCACTTCCACCGCGGAATGGGCTGAATTTCCCATCCACGTCCTCTCTCCATTTGATAATTCAAAGGTTGTGAATAGCTCCAGGTTTGAGAAAATGTGTCGAGTAGCTCCAGTGTCCACAAACTACTCATTGGAGTTTGATCCAACAAGGTTGACCTCGGTCACCACAGCAGAGAGGATTATTTGTTCATCCTTTTGCCCACCTTACAACATGTTGACTTCAGAGTCTTTCTTTTATGGTGCCTTGCAATTTGCGGAATTGTGTCCATTTTTATTGCAATTGAAACATTTTTCATTGAACTTGGGTTTAGAAATGCCTCCCTTGAGATCGAGTTTGCTCTTTTCATTATTTTTGTTCTTGGAGCCCTTAGCATGCTCCACAACATTGGCCTTGGCGCCACCAATAATTGGGAGTTTCCCATTGTTCTTACAGTTATCCTCTTCAATCTAAAGATGAAGGATCGATTGCTTCAAGTTCATTTCCCTTCGCTTATGTTTAAGGTAGTTCTTGAAATCTTTCCAAGCTGATGGAATAGGTGGATATGATTATTGACTCCACTAGTAAACACTCATTAACTGTCATCCCCACATCTCAAATTTCGTTGAAGATCATTTTCATCTCCTCAATTTGACTCAATCAGTCATTGAATCCACCATTTTAAAGTCAAGGAATCGGCCGACAACAAATTTCCTTGCACCAGCATTCTCGCTCTTGTATTTGTGGTCCAAAGCATTCCATACCCCCTTAGTCGTGGCTAGCTTGCTACAGACATCGTAAAGTGCGTCATGCAACCTGTTCAACATGTAGTTTCCATAAAGGAAGTCTGAATGCTTCCATGCCTCCACTGCAGTGACAGATTGCACATCCATCTCTTTTTCAGTTATAACCGGGACGTACTCGGTCAAGAACCTTAGCTTGCCAAGTTGAGGGTAGTGAGATAGAATAACATCTTTTGGTGCTGCCTCTTGATGTTTAACCCATTGAATTTCTCGGGTTTCTCCAGAGAGTTGCTTAGCACGGTAACCATAGAGATTGCCCCTTGGTTGCCCAAAGCAGATGCTTCGCGTTGTGAACTGTTGTTCACCGAAGCTCCACTTTCAGATTGTGTGTCGTTTGGCACATTCTGGTTTTCTTGTGAAGCCGTTTTATTGTTACTGTTCACCATTGAAGAACAGAAAGAACCCAAACACCATGCAATAGACAAGTGTGGACAAGCCATTCCGGTGAGAAGAATATAAGGGCAGGGAATCAGGGAAATATTGACTCAAGTGATTGCTCATATGGCAGTGATTCAATGAAGATGTTCATTACCACACAGAAATTAGGTTTTAAGCTTGTTCACCGCAGTGAAACCAACTCCGTCCCGAATAGGTTTTAAGTTTGTTGGGTAAATGGTGTGTTTAATCGGAAAATAAAGAATTAAATAAATTAAATAGGCAAGAAAAAAGAAACAAGATGGGACAAAAAGCTAAAAGTTGTGCAACACATAATTTCCATAAAACCTATTTGTTGCCCCTCACGGTGCTAGAAGCATTGCAACGATAGTTTCCCAGAATACGCGAGACAAAATCGGTTGTTCCAGCGAACAGAAACAAATTAAAGCACGAACAACGGAGAATTTTCAGAAAGTTGGAGGCAGATTTTATTAAAGTTGCACACAATCGATTGTCCATTAAAGGCTGCATTAAGGGAGAAGAACATTGGGCATTAAAGACTGAAACGGTTCAACAACAGCCTGTTGGTGACCGTTGAACAATGAGCGGCAGCCTGCTACTTCAGATTTTTTAACGCCATTCGTGTCTGCAGGTCGTCCGCGCACGCAAGTCGCGGTTTTTCTTCTCCATTTTCGGATTTTGATCGACCCCCCTACATGAAGAGAGCCTTTCCACTTAAAGCAAGAACAACAGAGGATTTTCGGAAAGCTGGAGGCAGTTTTGTAAAGCAGCACACAATTGGTTTTCCATTTAAAGCTGCATTATGGGAGAAGGGTTGGTCATTAAAGGTTGTAACGGTTCACCAGCAGCGTGCTGGTGACCGTTGAACTGCGAGCAACAACCTGCTAGTTCAGATTTTTGGACGGCATACGTGTCGCAGGTTTTCTTCTCCATTTTCGAGATTTGATCCCCCCTTCCCGTGAAGAGAGCCTTTCCACCTAAAAATCTTAACTCCTTCAAAGAGTGTCACCTTTATAAGGGGTGAAAGTCTCTTGGGTTTTCTGGTGTGGGATAAGTCACACTAGAAACCCATCATTTTCCTTGTTTTCTCCATTTCAACGAGTGAACTTTGTGAATCAATTTTTCATTCACCTGTTATCTATTTTGAGTGTACCATATATCGAATCGAAGCCCTTAAAAAGGGGAATACGAAACTACTTTGACCCGACCCAAATCGAAAATGGAACTCACTCAAAATTCTGCCCGAAATTGACTATTTAATGCAATCGTAACACATTTTGGTGATGCAATTTCCAACATATGGTGATGTAGATAGAAATGGAAGATGATGAAGATAGTGAAGATGGAAGATTATGAGATGGTGTTAGTGATGAAAGATGTACAAAATGATGAAGCGGAGAGATGATGAAGATGAAAATGGAATAAAAGAGAAAGAAGAAGAGTGAGTTGGTTGGGGTCTTGTGGGAGAACCGAAAGGAGGGAGGAAGGGAAGAAGGAAGGAAGGATAAAAATATGGGGTTTTTAAAGGGTTACAAATTTTGTACAAATAGCATTTTTTGAATTTTGATAGTCAAAGAATATTTGAGGATGAAATTGCACATATTGGAAGAAGATTTTCTATAGGAGAGGCAAAACGAAGAGAAAAAACAAGATAATTAAAGGAGGTGTTGTGCGTTAAATAGGGAGGGCACAAAGGGGAAAGTATCTACCCTAGCGTTTCAAATTTTGGTTTTTTTTGTCCAATAAACTAAAGCAACTATCTCCTTACCAAACATTAATTTTGGCCTTTTCAAAGTCAAAATCATTAATTATTATCAAAGAAGTAAAAAAATTGTTGATAAGCCATTTGCAAAACGGGGCCATATCTTTTGGATTGTTGGTTTAAATGTTTAATCAGTATAGTGGTTGATAGCTAAGGGGAGCATAAAGTGAATATGTTATGTAATCTTAGTTGTGTAGGTCTCAAAATTTTCACCCAATAGGTATAATTGAAAACAACATATCATATAAATGTTTGGATCCCATTTTGTTATCCCTCATTGAAAAGAGTGATGGTCGCCTCAGGGCCGGACCAGATTGGTAAAAGTGTAGACATTTTTTATATTTGGGATGGGACGGGGCCTATGTTGCACCCTAGATCCGGGGGGTGCAAAGTGTAGACGTTTTTTATATTTGGGATGGGACGGGGCCTATATTGCTAAAATAAATAGGGAAAAGAGTGATGGTCGCCTCATGAATAATTCAACCTTTGCACCTCATTTTCATTCACTGGTCCCTGACCGGTTGATGACCTGCTATTCCAAGTTATTTTCTTATCTTTGCAAACCATTATACCATAAATCTCACTTTTCACAAAGATAATATTTTGCAAAGATAAGAAAATAACTTGGAATAACAGGTCATTAACCGGTCAGCGACCAGCGAATGAAGATAGGGATGCAAAGGTTAGATTATTGTTGAATAACAATAAAGTGGGACTATTATAAGAAAACTGGTAAAAGGTATTTATTAGTTTCAATTTTCCCTATTTTTATTTTAAAAACACATTAATGACATTATCATGCCACATGGCAGGAGCCATTTTAAAAAAAATACTCCCTTATAAACAGGAGGGAGTAATATAACGGAAATAAGAGAAACTGCCCCTAAATTCTAGGCCAAACTGTGCGTTCTGCAGGTGGGCCCATTTATGGGCGTCAAGACCCCATTCCATTCGTACACATTTCATTTCCGTAGCGCCATTTTCAAAAAAAAACTGAGAAGAGATATGAATCCGGAGATCACCATCACCGTTGAAGACGAAAGCGACACGTCCCCGTCCCGTTCGTACACCGTCCATTTCTTCGACACTCACATCTTCGTCACCGTCACCAAAACTCCGTCCGTTGTTCGCAAATGGGTCGCCACAACCGTCTACCTTCGCAACCGCCGCCGCTTGTTCGGCCAACTCGTCATAGGCGTCGCCGTTCAGTGGAACCCCTACAGAGGAAACGATCCTCCTGCTCACACTCTCCAACTCTGCGTCGGCTGCCGCTGCTTGATCTTCCAGCTCTCCCACGCCACCACAGTTCCGCTCATCCTCCGCCGCTTCTTACTCGACGAAACGAACACCTTCGTCGGGATTTGGAATGGCTCGGACCAGAAGAAATTGGAGATGGAGCACGGGCTGGACATTCATCGGCTTCTGGATCTGAGGAGGTACGTGGAGACAGATGAGGGAGATAGCCTCCTTACGGCTTCCGTGGAAGCGATTGTGAGCGAGTGCTTAGGGTTCGAGGGGGTGTATTTGGATCAGGCCATCAGCATGAGCCGTTGGGATGCTCATCACCTGAGTTGGGAGCAGGTTTTGCAAGCAACTGTGAAAGCATATGTGGCCTTTGAGATTGGGAAGAACCAGGGTGCTTGGCGGTATTGATCGATCATCTGATCCATCGATAGATCTATTTCTGATGTGATCGATCTATAACTTCGATCAATTCCACTCCATCTCTTCATCGATCTCTGGATATCAACTCTTTATTTTGGTAATACTAGTCTCTCGAATCTTCTATGCTACCAGCCGTTAACTGATAGTTTTCCTTTTAGTTAAAAAAAACCTTCAGAATTCAGAATTCCGAAGAGGTCAATTTCAATGGAAGTAGTTGTTATAAATTGACTGAAACGTCTTCCGGATTTTGTTTGTTTTTTGGATTTCTGAATGAGTCTTAGATTTGACTTTGGATGATCCTGTTACATGAAATTCTCAGCTATAAAAAAAACCTTAGAAGAGTTTTTGTTCTTTTGCCTAAGATGTAGTAAGATTGCGCATGGAAATTTTGTGTACTTCGGGAAAACAGAAATGTTATGTTTTTAGGGGCGTTTTGAACTAATTCTGCTTTCTGCTTCTTTTCTAAAGTAGAAGCAGAATCAGAATCAGTTTTCAGAAGCTGGTCACCCCAGCTTCTGAAAAAATTGATTCTAGGAGTAAATTTGAGTACCAGAATCACTTATGCACTTTCACTCAAACACTTCAGTTTTTATTCCTACTCCCTTAAGGAGCAGAAGTAGTTTTAAGAATCAGATCCAAACATCCCTTATTTTGTAAATAAGTAATTACTTTCTAAGCTTGAAATAGTGTCGTCATATTTCAAATTTGGTAATACTAAAACCTGACCGTGGGTACTCTTACTTGGTGAATAAAAGTAAGGAAAAAGGATCAAATAAGCCCATGTACTATTATAAAACTATCATCTAAGCCCTTCTACTAATAAAAGCATCACCCAAGTACATTTACTTCCAAAAAACCATCAAACAAGCCAGGTGACCTTGTTTTTTGTTAGAGTAAAAGTTCAGTTTGGTCCTCGAAATTGCATAAAAGGGGTCAAATAAGCCCTTATACAGAAGATTATGTCCGGACGTGCCATTTGAGGCGGTTCCCAGTGGAATTATTTGATAAAAAATTTTGAGCATCTTATTCATTAAGTCTAGTTTACTCATACCAAATTTCAGCTAAGAATTCAATCAGGAAGGCATTCAAATGAATTCTTGAAGATAACTGCGCTTTTAACAACACATTTATCTTCAAGAATTCATTTGAATGTCTTCCCGATTGAATTTTTATCTGAAATTTGATATGAGTGAACTAAACTTAATGAATAAGATGCTAAAAAAATTCATCAAAAATTTCCACCGGGAACCGCCCCAAATAGCGACGGACGGATAAAACCTTCTATATAAGGACTTATTTGACCCCTTTTATGCAACTTCGAGTACCAAACTGACTCTTCACTCTTTTTTGTTATACCAAGTCATCCATAATTTCTTTTCCTTTTTTTTGTTCACCTTCTGGCTGATTCTTCCACATTCTGTCTTCATTCTTTTAAGGGAAAACTATCAAATAAGCTCTCGTACTATGCTGAAAAAGTCGATTAGGCCCTCGTACTTTACAAACACTCAATTAAGTCCTCAAACTATTAAAAAACGTTCAATTAAGCCCTTTTGGTCGGTAAGTAACCGGTTTCCCGGTTAAACGGCGGCGGCGGCGGCGATGTGCTCGAACTCCAGCAACGGCGGCTGCCGGGAAACAGGTTACTTTTCACCAGGAAACCGGTTACTTACCGATCGAAAGGGCGTAATTGAACGTTTTTTAATAGTTCGAGGACTTAATTGAGTGTTTGTAAAGTACGGGGGCCTAATCGACTTTTTCGGTATAATACGGGGGCTTATTTGATAGTTTTCCTTCTTTTAAATCTTTTCTTCACCCCTGCGCCTGGCTGGTTTCCTCCTCCCACCGTCTCCCAAACTCTTTTTTCATTGCTTTTTGTTATTTCATTCTCTTTATTAATTTCCGTTTTTTTTTTAATTTTTCTTTTTTGTAATTCTTTCTATTTGTTCTTTCGTCCCCTTTTTAACTTTCTTTCTTTTGGGATATGTTTTAAGTGAACATTTTTTAGAGAGCCTATATAGTACACCCGGGTGTACGTACATCCGGTTCAATTATTAAATGTGATTGGTGGACTCCCAGCGAATCGCGGCCTCAGCTTAAAAAAATTAAAAACCCCAGCGGGATTCGATACCGCAACCCGAAGTAGGATATTCGACCTTCCAACCATTTCACTGGCTTGTCTTGTTGAAATAATTGGTTCATTTATCTTACTTATCCTATATAGTTTCATACTGCATATTATTATAGTAATTATAATATTAACTATTCTTTTGCTTTTGCTCATTATTACTATATTAAAAGACTAATTCATATTTTTGAAGTATTTATTTGATCTATGAATCATACTATTACTTTATATAAATATGTTTATAATTTTTTTTATATAGTGTTAGTGAGATGAAAATCACGACTTCTGGAGAATGAGTAATAATGAACTTTTAGTGAGCACCAGACCTATTCTGTTGAGCATACTGAATACACAAATTGATATTTAAGCGTATTCGAGATTTTAAATGAGCTTTTAAATTTTTTCTATGCTCATTTCGTAAATTTTAAAATGAGCATTACACGAGACAACTTAAATGTCATATCCATGCATATTGGTGTAATGCTCATTTTGAACTTTTTGATACTCATTTCACGTTTTATATATTCACATTTAATATTTGAGCATCAAACATCCGCTATTGAGATGAAATTCACGGTTTCTAGTGAATGAGCAATAATAAACGTTTAATGAGCATCATATCCATTCTGTTGAGTATTAGGAGTCTAATATTGAGAATTGTGATCTCCACTTCATAACTTCTAATTCACTTTCTTTTTGTTATTTTTTCTTTTATAAAATCTTATTAAATTATATATATTTATAATCAACTCCTGTGAATTTCAATATGTGAATTAATGTAAAATAGTACTTTAAAAAATGCATCGATATGACATTTTGACAATGAGCATAAGATCTCTACCAGATGAGCATACGTAACATACAAAATGAGTATTAATGAATTTGTTAGTTGCTTTGTTATTTAAAATGAGCATAACAAAGGTACTAAATGGACATACATAACTTACTAAATGAGTTCAAGATAACGATTTTAATTGAGCATCACACATCCTCTATTGAGATGAAATTCACGGTTTCTGCTAAATGAGCATTAATGAACTTTTAATGAGCAACAGACCTATTATGTTGAGTATTGTTGAGCAGCATAAATTCTTCTACATAACTGCTGTTTCACTTTCTTTTTCTTATTTTTTCTTTTATATAATTTTTTAAAATTATATCTATAATAGATTCCTATGAATTCCAATATACGAATCTAATTTAATATTAAACTTTTGGAATATGCATCAAGACATTTCATTGAGCATCAACTTTTCTCTATTGAACATTGGAACTCTGCAATTGAGCATAACAATTTCAAAACTTATTGAGCATAAAAAATCTTCATTGAATAATCAGTCGTAATAGTATTTATCATAAAATGTTATATTGATGTACATTTCATGTAAAAATTATTCTCATTTGGTATAACATAAAACTCTTTTCTTTTACTCATTTTATAATTTTATACCAATGCTCATTTTTTTGAAAGTGGTGCTCATGTATGTATAATATAAAAATCATTTGTGTATAACTCACTCATGTAACATAGTGATTACGAATAAATTAGAATAAATCTTTCTTAACATTAACATCTTTAGTATGCTCAAATATTAAATGAGAATACAACCTATGAAATGAGCATCAAAAAAAATAAAATCGACATTACACCAATATGTATGGATGTAAAATTTAAAATGCTTAGTTTAAAATGAGCATTACACCAATATCAAATGAGCATAGCTAACTTACGAAATGAGCATAGAAAAATTAAAAAGTTGGATCATCTAAAATCTCTAGTATGATATATATTCTCAAATATCAATTTGGGCATGCTCATTTAATATTATACGAAGTATACAGGTGCAATAAACAATAAAATATTTCATGAAAAGAGAAATGAACTTTCACTCTGTAAATTTTTCAAACAGTTGGTAGGCAAAAATTTAAAAGCTTATTTAAAATCTCTAGTAGTTTCTTCTTATCATCCCTACAGTTTTTCTTCTTCTTCAAGCTAATAGGCCACTCACATAGCTTCCTACACACATATAATTAAATGCAAAATCAATTACGGAGTATCAAATACGAAGTATTATGGAAGGAGACATTGGAGCTTTAGAGAAAGTGGAGGTAGAAGATTAATTTTGAAGTTTGAGCTTTGTATTGAATCTCAAATAGTTGGTGGCGGCTGAAATCATTAGCGTGTAAGGAGTTACGGAGTATTTCATTATCAGAAACAATGATATTAATAATCAGGCTCAAGCTTCTAAGATAAATTCACAGTGCAAATAAAATTGGGAATGATCGCAGATGCGCGCAGGGAAGAACGACCACGAGAAGAATACAGATTAGAAAGAATTTCAAAAATACCTGGGTGTACCTGTACACCCGGGTGTACGGTATAAATTGCCCATTTTTTATCCTTAATGGTATAACGATCAACTTAAAAGTACATATTAGATTAGATCTGACTTAAAAATTGTTCCATTCCTTTGATCGGAATTTTTTTTAAATCTGGTCGAATATGAAATTTTCTGATTTGATCTGGTCTGAACAGATTGGTCAATTTTTTGTGACTGAGATATTTTTTCCCCGACTTTGAAATTCTCGATATATTATATTCTAAGTGTTGTGAAATTGACATTTTCTGTCCTTCAACTCGATTTTGTCATGAAAATTACATGAATAAAAATCTACTAAAAAATTCTACTCCATATGAAAATTCTAATTTATATGAAATATTTTTGCTATTTTATATGTCGTAGAATTAGAAAAAACTTATAGAATAGTCATATTTAAAATATTAGTACTAAAAATAAATAAATTTATACGTGTGAGCTCGACTAACCAATTTCCTACTTTTAAGTCCATCGTTGTATCATCAAGGATTAAAAATGTTCACTTAAAATATATCCCAAAAGAAAGAAAGTTAAAAAGGGGATAAAAGAACAAATAGAAAGAATAACAAAAATGAAAAATTTAAAAAAAACGGAAATTAATAAAGAGAATGAAATGACAAAAAGCAATGAAATAAGAGTTCGGGAGAGGTGGGAGGAGGAAACCAGCCAGGTACAGGGACTCGCAGAAGATATATTCATTTTTACATACTTCCTCCGTTCTTAAATAAATGCAACAGTCAACATTTCACATTTGCCGAGGCACAACTTTGACCATTAATATATATAATTCTTGATTAGTAAAAAAAGTTTAAAAAATAGATTTTGAAAATTTATAATGAGAAAAATTTAATAATATTTTTTTTCAAAAATATATATTATAACATTAATAAATAAAACGTAGTCAAAGTAGAATATGTGAATAGTGCAAAAAGTCCAATGTTGCATTTAAAAGAGAACGGAGGTAGTACTAACTTCTTACCGCAGTTATTGGAATTTGAATCTGAGACTTATCTCTTGTCACCACATGTCTACCAGTTGAGCTATGTTCACCGACATCATTAAAGCATTAGGGGTACCGAGTATTGCAAAAAAAGTAATACTACCTACATTTTTTGTGATGCCGAGTATTGTTTTACTTTACAAAATAAAATTTTGAAAATCTAGAAAAGTATTTTATTTTTTTTAGTTTCCAAAGTAAAAATTTAGAATGTTCGTAATCGGCTCAATTTTAATCTTGAACTAGACTAAGATAATAGAGTACATAGAGCAGATAAATATGACTAGATCATACTTAAACAGATCAAATTAGACGAGAAATATACCATACAACTAAAAACATCCCTACCATAAATATGACTATTGTTTTTTATTACTCCGTATAAAACATATGATAATACTATCGTATATATCAAATGTTGTAATTTTTTAAATTAAATAATACGGAGTATTATTATAGCAATACTCCATCAGTCCCTTAAAAAAAATTCCATTTTAAAATTTTTTGGTCAACTAAGTTAAACTTTGACTAATGATTTATTTTATAGGAAATAATTTATAGATATGAAAATTTTCTTTTTGAAAATACTTTCAAAAAAATATAAATTATACTTCTTTAATTTTGTCCCAAATTGATTTGCTAAGTCAACTTTTTGGGTCAAACAGATTCATTTTATTCACTTAATTAAGATATTAATTTTTAATTATATTCTAATTTGGATATTGTAACTTTATTGAGATTTTAATGTAGTTTCTCATGAATATGTAAATTAATTATTAAATTGAACTACTTATATCAAGGAATATTTGGGTGTATATACAACTTTAAATATGTACAATTAAGTTTATGTCATACATTTGTCTAAATTAAACAAATAGCATAACTAACTCATTCAAATGAATAAAAAACACACAGTTGCATAAAGAACTAAAATCATGTAACCTCACATTAGCTACAAAAGTGCTATGCACTTAAAAATAGAAATAATGACACGGCTGAGACTCACAGGTTTCCCAAAAACAAATATGGGACCAAATTTTAATTTGACAAAAAAGAGACTATTTTTTAGTTAACGGACTGATCTGCCCTTAATGTTAAATAGATAAAATAAGTCTTTAGCTCCTTCTCAGGCCTTCTCTCCTCGCAACTCACGACCTCCATTGCACATTCAGTTGCTGGCTCGCACCAGCATATTCATGGCGGCATATCTCTATCGATGCCCTTTCGACCACCATCAAGGCTTCTCCTCGCTAAACCAATATAATTTCACTTCCGCGGCGGCAGTCATCTTCGGCGGTGCAGATCTATTTTTCGGCGGCATCCCTTCGATCTTTACGATGGTGATGAGATCCAGCAGCGACAAGGGTTTCGAACCAACACGGTGGCTATAGTTAATGGGCGGAGACAACCACTGGGATTTCAAGGTGAGCCACGCCGGCATCAACAAATTGCAGTGGTTAGGTGCTCTGGATCTGGGAATGTGGTGGCGACTGCTTGGTGAGGGGCCTATGGTTATACAAAGGCTTGTGAAGGGGTTGGGGCTGGGGTGGGGTTTGATTTGGGGGGCTGTGGAGGCTATGGGCTGGGGATGGTGGGGGTCCTTAGGCTGGGAGTGGCTTGCTGGCGGAGAGGGGCAGGGGCAGTGGCGGCTGGTCACTGGAAGCCACCACCGGTTCACCGACAGGTCACTGGCGGTGGTGGACGGCGGCCGGCAGTGTGGTCTAGCTGTGGTGGCTGCTAGAGGAGGTTATCGATGGTCACTATTTGACCCGATATGTGTAACTGATACGCGGGGGTAATTAGTAGTGCCATTAGCTATAATTGGTGGCGGATAATCATAAGTGGCTGGGCGGGTAATTCTAACTGGCGCCATGTAACCGTAACTGACGGCATGTAACTGTAACTGGTTGGGCGGATATCTGTAACTGGTTGGGCAGATAAACGTAACTAGTTGGTCAAGTAACTGTAACTGGTGTCGGGTCAGGTAACTGTAACTGGTTGGGCGGATATCTGTAACTGGTTGGGCAGATAAACGTAACTAGTTGGTCGAGTAACTGTAACTGATGTCGGGTCAGGTAACTGTAACTGGTTGATTCGGGTAACTGTAACTGGTCGGATTGGGTAACTACAATTAGTCAGTTGATAATTCTAACTGGTTTGATCAGATAATTGTAATTGGTATGATTGGGTAATTGTAATTGACGGCGGGTAACTGTAATTGGTGGGACGGACAATTGTAATTGATGACAGGTAAATATAACTGATTGAGCGAGTAATCGTAACTGATCGGGTGTGTAATTGTAACTGGTTGGACGGATAACTGTAATTAGTCGGATGAGTAAATATAACTGGCCTGAGTAACTGTAATTACGGATAATTTTATCTAAATGAACATGTAAATGTAATTATTGGTCATACTTTTAAATCAACCGAATGGCAAAGAATCATAAAGTAATCAAAGTCATACGGAGTACAATTTTTGTTTGAACGGTGCCGTCGGTGCGTATTGCATTTTAAGAAGAATGGAATTTGTAACGTAAGAAATCAGGGGTATTAGAAACTAGAAAGCAGGGCTCCGTAATGATTAGAAAGCAGGGGTATAAGAAAGCAGGGCTCCGTAATGATTAGAAAGCAAGGGTATTGATGACATTTTGATTCTCAATTTTTTAAATGAGGCGTACGAATGTCTCTTTTTTGGAAGAAATTAAAAGAGATCCTACATTTGTCAAAACTCATTTAATTAGTTATATTGATGACCTAACCCCTTAAAAAAACATAATATAGGTTATTAATTTGTCCTATCATATTTATTTAAGTTATATAGCCATTTAACCCTATTATCAATAGGGATGATTTAACTTTAACATTGGTTTACCAAAAAATATTGACTTGCAAATGAATTTGGGGCAAATTAATCAAAATCATTAGTCAAAGTGTAAAACCTTGAACTTAAAAACAATACAGATGATAAAGTTTTAAAGGACATCTATGATTATGACTGTTTAGCTCATTATTATACTATAATAAGTAAAATTGTGGAGTATAAAATCTTTAGTATAACTAAGATTGGTTTATGTATGTATGAACATAATACATATATAAAACAAAAATCAAGAACTGGGTCACATGAGACATCCCCAAAACATTATACTACGTATTTATAAAGTACACAAAACTCATTGTTTTTCATTTTCCTTGCAATAAAACAAAATTCATTGTTTTTTATATTAATAAAACAATAAATGGAAAATGTGATACACCATAAGTCTCATTCTATTTTTAATCTTGCCGTGTTCGTCTGTTTCAAAGAAAGAGAAAAGAGGCAAACAACGAACTGTTAGCGATTCTGCATTACCCTCGAACCGAAGGCTTTGCAAATACACCTCTTGACTCACTGAAGTAAAGCAATAAAGTCCTTTTTATCTATTGGTGTCACTAACTTCTCACGAGAAAGTTACTATCTTAGTGGTACCAACCGTTGAAAAGGATCCAGTTACTTTATTTCAATGGGTCGACATGTGCATTTGCAAGTTCTTTTTGTTCAAGGATCTCAGACAACTAATGATGTGATTGATATGAAGTGTTTTCTTTTCACATCTATGCAAATTGGTATACGACATAGTTGTGATTTTATAACAAATCAAGATGATAAGTTAATGAAATTTTATTAATTCAGGACCTCAAAGATATGTTTTTTATCAATAAGGGGTCTGAAAGATAAGCTTTCGATATATGAGCTAAATGATTGAAAACTATCCATCTAAGACCTAAAATATCATTGTTTTTGAATTATTTGATTTTGTATTAATTCCATGACTAATTTTTGATGACTCTTACTTACAAAAATTTATATAATATTTAATTTTTTTAAAATAAATAATATCAAAAGTCATGGTACTTTAGATCTTAGGTTGATAGTTTTGAATCATTCGAACCATATATCAACATATTTACTTTTGAGGTCCTGTATTGATTGTGAACTTATATTTCAGGTTCTGATAAAATTCTTTTTTTATATTTATTCTAGTAATATTCATAAAAAAGGCCTTAACCTTGGTCATTGATCTTCATAAATGTAGAAAATAATTTTTTTAAAAGGAAAACGCATTTAATTTACTAAATAAATTAAACTTTGGTGTACAAAAAAGCTTGTCCTTTTGTACATAGGGATGGACTCGGGCCGCGCGGCCCGGCCCGGAACCGGCCCGGCCCGGTTACTGTTTGAACCGGCCCGGCCCGAGAACCGGTCCGGGGGGCGGTTCGGGCCGGCCCGGCCCGGTTACTGTTCGGTTCAGGCCCGGGCCCTGTGATTGGCGAACCGGCCCGGCCGGTTCGCGCCAAAATATTTTTTTTTTTGAATTTTTTTTAAGTTTTTGGGTTGGGCTTGGTATTTTGGGCCATTTGAGGTGGTTTGGGGTAGTTTGGGGTTGATGGGGGGAGGGTTGGGGGTTAATTAGGAATAGCCAAAAAAAAATGAACCGAGACCCGGCCCGGACCCGGGATTACCCGGGTTAATTACTCTTTTCTTATGTGATTGACATTTTTCACTTATTTGTGTTTGTAGACATAATAAGTGAGATAAACTAGATCTTCTAAATGCTTGTGGTAAGTGTTCTGCGATCCAAATAGAAAATTCTAATTTGATGACTTCTTAGTTGAAGTGTTGAACTTTGATGGTTCTTCACTTCTTTGTACCTTTGGCATTTTTGATAGAATATTTATGGAGAAAAAAATAGTTTAAGTTGTGCTCGTGTTCATTTTGTATTCTTATAAATACACTTATTTGCATATAATGTATAACCATCAATACATTTATCCACATTAAAGTTTTCCTTAAAATGCATTATTTCTAATGAAAATTTCTCCACTCTTTACAGTTTACAGTGTGTTTACTGAAATGATACGTTTTTTAGAAAATTCTTTATTGCAGACAACTTTGGTTACACGACATTTCTACAGGTACAATTAAATGACTAATAACGAAAATGAGATTGAAAAAGTCTAATTAAAACATCCTTGTAAAGTTAGAAAAACTGACACACACATTACAACAATTGCGAAATTGCCATTATTGGATTCGAACAACTTATGTATAGTACTGTTCCAAATCCTCTACGAATATATACAGAACCAGCTAAGGGCTTACAACGAGGGTTCATAGAACAAAACTTTAAAAAGTTTGTGCCATGAAAAGAAAGCATTACTCTCTCAAACTCGAACTCCTATTCTTTGGGCAACCTGCAAAAACATACCTATTGTTACATCAATTTCAAAAAGGCAAAGTTTGTTAACTTTAAACGTAATAAAGAAAATAAAAGTATAAAACCCCAATAATAACAAGAGGGTAATACAATACTTTGACACTTGATATAGGGCATGCTTGGATTCTCAAAAGCACTTGGTAAAGGAAAGAAAATGCTCACGAAGTCATTTCCTCGTGTTTGGATTTACCATGGACATTGCCAAAGGAAAACGAGTTATGATGGGGGTGTTTGTTTTACAGCGTGTCACCCCAAACCGCTGTTTTTTTCGAAGGGAAACGCTGCCAAATGCAGTGTCTTTGCCCCAATCTGCTGAAAACCTAACAAACCCGATATCTTTTTTGAAACTTTGACTATGCTTACATTACTGGGCATTTATCTGACAGAAATGTTTAAAAATAATTTTACCACAGGCACTAAAAACAAATCGCGTTCAAAATAGTGTTATATTTTCCTCAACATTTTCTTTCTTCCAAATTTCTTGTAAACCTTCCTATTTTCTTTCCCTAGCTTTTTCTGCATTCCGAAAGGACTGTAAAAGTAGGAGTGTGAAGGAGAAAAAACATACCTCTTCGAAGGAGTGTACATCACTGCCCCAAAGCCATGCATCACAACCAGCATCTCTAGCCCCCCAAATGTCATTTCTACGATCATCTCCTACATGAACGGCATCCTCGGGATTTACTGCTAAAAATTCACAAGCTTTTAAGAATATTGTTGGATTTGGCTTCTCTGCTTCAACCTGCTCAAAAGAGGGGGAGGGGGAGATTCATGAACTGCCATATGAAAATATATAACCGGAAAGTAGAAATAAATAAACAGGCATTATTGTTTTACTTCAGCTGACACAGCCACAGCATCGAACCAGTGATCACAGTTTAGATCCCTCAACAAAGGTCGTAATCGTGTGTCGAAGTTTGAAACAACAGCTAGCTTTATCCCTGCATTTCTAAGAGCCCTAAATACCCTCTCTGCATTAGGATCACATATATGCCAAGCCTGTGAAGACAGTCAACTTGTTACGGAAACTACACTTTTTAGGGACTCGAACAACCAGTTTATAGGCAACATACATTTTGGGGATTATAAAACTATCAAGTTTCACAAAAGAGAACATCCTATTTTTTCAGAAATTTAAGGGTAGATTTTGGTTTAGGAAAAAGCTAAGGGAAAAAATGCCAAGTATCAGAATTTATTTTCTCATGTTTCGTTTTACCTTGGAAAATACAAGGCAAGATGTAATTAATTATTTTTTAAAACATCACAACATAAATATAAATAAAAGTACATAAAACGAAAACAAACTATTGAGTATGAGTCTATCAACTAATTCCCCTGATTTTTTTTCCTTCCCATGTTTCCCTATTCTCTTTCCCTGGTATATTCAGGGGTCCAAAAGGACACCCAGAGAATGACTCCTAAAATTTTATTTTGAAATAAAGCCAACCTTGTTAGTGGTATAATAGTTATACAACTCCTCAAAGTACTGAGAATTGGAACACCCAGTAGACGAACTGACTATATGCTGCCAGAATGGCCTCCCATCATTCACATATCTGCAAGCCAATATGTCAGGAAAACGTTCATATTCTTGTCCTTATGATATACACATGCCAGCACACAATTTATTTACTGAAGCATGGAAGTTTCTCTTTAAGGAGTAGGAAATGTTCTATATACGGGTAATGAAGAAATAACTAGGATTTCATTTTAGAATAAATGTCTTCTACCATATACTGAGGAAATGAATGAAGTAAGAAAATAAGATAATAATGTAAGAAAATAAGACAATTAAAGTGAAATATGAAGTATAAATGACATAAATAAGATATTACTCCAAATAAGGATTAAAACATTGGTCATGTGCATTAATAGGTGTACCCTTGTTTTGTATTAAAAATTTATTAATATGTGATTAATTCCACCCTTCAAAAAGAATAAAATGGTTAGCAATTCTTCTTGAATGAGTCCTATTTGAGAAAATGTAAAATCTAGCTTTTACTCATAAGCCACAATTTTTTCAAAAAACTATTTATTCGCACTCCATTGATATTTGTTAGAAATAATGACAAATGCATGACTAAAATAAAATAATGAACGGAAATGTGATTTTTATGCACCATGACCATATTAGAACCCACAATGACTGGTGGTTACAATGTGTTTCATTTTACATTGTAGTGACCATAATAGTATTTCTAAGTGACTGCAAACTGCAGTGACCATGAGTTGTATTTCTGAGTCAGTGTAGTAATACATTAGTCGATGAGTTCTATTTAAGCAATATTATAGGAAAACATCATTTTTTTAAACCATTCCTGTTTTCAATTCCTCCCTTTCCCTCATTCCTCTTACAAGGCCTAAGGGCCCCAATTCATAAAAGCATGACACGAAAATCATAAAACATCTCAACTAAATGGGACCAGTAAAAATGAAATAATCACATAAATGAATATAGCCATATTATGATCACATGAAGTCATGAAGAGCAACATTGACTAGAGAAATGTTCTATTCACCAGTCTTTTTATGTCACAATATGAAATTTGAGACATTCAGAACATAGCAAGTTCAATGAAAACGCATCAAAGAACGCTATGAAAAAGAAAACGAGTAACCTGAGTCTAGATCTACACCAAGGTTGCTCATAAGCCATTCTGTATCTATTTAGTATCTCATCTTCAGAGTAATCCACCCCATATTTCTCCCCAATTTGCCTGTATATCTGAAAATTAAGGGAAAGAAAGAGAAGTCAATAAACAGAGTAATCAGAAAGACAAAACTACGCAACATTCTGAATTGTTAAACTTTAAGGACCCTATGGGTCAGTTTGGAAGGAAAATACTAGAGAAGAGAATGGGGGGATTGGAGAAATTTGGAAAGAAAAAAACTGCTTTCCTAATATCTAATCCAACCCAATTTGCACCCTTCATGCTGACTTATCATTGGCAATTCTTTCTAACCTATTATAGTATATGTTTTATGTTAAGGCCAACATCCTTGAACTGGGATGGGATTCGAAACTGTGACCTCCTCCTTGGAAGTGCCACAATGATGTCATCAGACCACAAGGTACTTGGCACTTACTTATCACTTATATTAAAAAAAGTATTGAATCATCAATTTGACATTTAATGCCCCTAATATGGAAAGTAAAGCAATGTCTCAAACTGCACAGATTTTCTTTTATTTGTTTGAATTCATATTTATTTGTATACTCCATATGACGGACCGTATTCCTATAGGATGAACGCAAAAGAATCTAAATGTATGAGCATAATTCTAAAACATCAATAGTAATACATTTTCCAAGTTATCCAGACGTAAAAGCACAATTTCCTTATCATTTAATCATTTATTCATTTTCTTTTTTCTGAAAGTATTATCAGGGATTTGGAAATAGCATATACATCTATGTTATTCAACTCAACAAAGAAAATAAATACTGAGTAGCACTCTCTAGGAGTGCACGAAATAATAACAAATGGAGGTAATAAAAACAACAACAATTCTTATAATAACAATTATGATAGTAATAATTATAATAGTAATAGTGAATTATTAAGTTATTATTAATTCAAAGAAATAAAAAGAAAATGAGATAAGGTGAGAAACCAGCCTGAGCCATGGGCTGAGAGGGCACAACGAGAGTGCCTGCTACATCAACAAGGAGGGCCTTATGAGTCAGCCCGCCATACATAGCCCGCCGGTAATCCTCGTAATCCTTGAGCAACCCGAAGATCTTGTCCGGCGACTCCTCCACGGCCTTAGTCGTTGCAGAGGTCGAAAATGACGGCCCAGAATTCCCACACGAGTCGGGTTGAGCCAACCCGAATCCAAAGGGCCGCGCTTTGGGTCTACGGGCCATGCGGGTCATCGTTCGGGTAATCCTCGTCGCCATTACAGCCATCTTTGGAAGGCACATATACTCATCGCATCATTGCTTGCATATATCTTATAGATAGAGTAGAACAGAGTGTTTACTTTAACAAACAGTAATCCGTACTCAATCGTGATGAAATGAATTATTTTGTCGATGAAAGTTTCATGAATTGTGGATTTTTATCTACAGGGACAGGTGGAGTGTGAGTATTGGCGTATTGCTATCTCTGGCCTTCCGTGTGGGTTTTGGGATATTTGGGAGAGTCCAAAGTGGAAGGGAAGTAGCAAAACGAGGACGACGAAAGGAAGTGGATCAGGTGATTGTTCGTAGGTGGGGGATGCTTAATTGTCGGTCTGCACTAATTGGTCTAACATTGTGTTGAATTTGGTAGAGATCTAATATATGTTCAATTTACTAGTATTTCAATTTGATTTAAATTTGATATAGAGCCCGTTTGGTAACACTCAAATCGGATCAATCGGCTGATCCTGCTGAAATTTATGAAGTTCTGACTTGACTGTATTGGCTGATTTTGTTTATTTATGAAAAAGTTAAATTTAAAATATATTTTATTAATAAAATAAAGAAAAAAAATTATATGTGCAAATAGCTAAAATAAACCTCTATAGTAACTCCAATCTTATTTTTTCTTATTATTACACATTTCAGCGCGTGAAATCAAAAGTTATGTGTTTGATGAAAAAGTTGACTGATAAGCTGAATAACAGTGTTACCAAACGGGCTCATAGTGTACCTTGATATATGTATTTATATTTTTATCAGAAAACTCATGCTTGGAAGGACGATCTGCAAACTCAGTCCCGTTATGATCCATTGTAATACTTCGTCTCATACTACTTAAAGAGTAAAAATGGTAATTGTTAGATTCGTTACACATATGTTACACTCATTGTGATATGCCATATGAGCATAGATGTAATACAACTTTTCTTTTTAATATTATTTTTTTTCCTGTTTTAGCGTGTCAAAATTTATTTACTTATTTACGATTAAATAATTATTAGTTTCATATTGTATTTTGTTGTGTTAGCGGTTTGACAATGAAACCCATTAATTATTTGTTAAATATCGCAAATTATACCGTACGACCGGTATACCAAGCGCATGGTATACCGGTCCCAATACGGTGCCGTATTAATAAGTAGAAATCGTCCAATTCATCTTTTCTTCTTCGCCGACCTCTCCTCCTAGCTTGATTTCGCAGGGATCGTCCTTCTATTTCACAGGGATTGTCCTCCGATGCATTTACTCTTCTTCTCCTTCATCCCCTCCGCCGATGCTGCAGGATTGAAACGGCGGCAACTCAGGCTTAAGGGGGTGACCAGGACACTCTCCGACTGTAGTCCAGCATAGATCCCTCACTGAATTATCGGATGTGATTCTGATTTTTGAGAGATTGGAGTGAATCCTTGTTAGCACGATACAAATTAATTAGCTTTGCTTCTACCGACTAATAAAAGTTTTATGCTTCTGTGTTTTAATGATGATGATAATGATGACTGACCTAAGCTCTTACAATTTTAACAACTTTACTCACTATTATTCTATCTATTAAGAAATGTTGTGACAGCCTATGGAATTTACATTCTGAGCTGATGAACTTTTTATTTATGTTGTGTAGGGGGAGAAAAGAATAGGTGTAATGCATAACATATTTGCTGTGATTAGGCCCTCCAATTGCTGCAACTCCAGCAACACATAACAACCATTTATTCATTAATTACTCTGCTATATAGTTGTCTTGCTGATAATATAGAGTTACATTTCACATATAGTGGTATTACATTTCGATTTGGCTAAAGTTACATTTTGTAATCCACGATTTACATTTCAATTTTTCTCAATAAATTACATCTTGTTTACATGTGATTTACATTTTAATGTACGCGAATTACATCATAAAACTATGCAAGTTACACAACAAAATAAACCTCAGTTTTTCAATCAAAAATGATTTTATTATTAAAAATCAATTTTAATAGATCTAATATTAAAAACAAAAACATATGCACTATTTATGTAAAATAATTGAACAATTAAACTCCTTTTTGCATTAAACATGAGTTACATTTCATAGCACAAGTTACATATGTTGTTAAGTGAAGTTATATTTGTAGCAACACGAGTTACATCTAATTATGCACAAGTTACATCATTCATGCTACTGAGATGAAAAAAAATATTGTACACGCGTGTAATGTTCATGCTTTTTTTTTTAATTTGATCAAAACTACGTCGCTTTGGGGTGTGGAGCATGGTGCTCACCATGCTCCGGTTGCATAGTATAGGTACTGGTTAAATATAGTTGTTGAGGTTTATTCCTTCAACCTTTGGGTCCAACACGTAAGTCCAAAGATTTCGAGTGGAGTGGTGTATGTGTGTATGAATAAACTGGCCCAACAAACAAGTAAGATGGATTAAGAGACGATAAATAGCAAGTAAAAGATCAAGTATTATTAATCAGTCAATAACTCCCCAATACAATACGCTTGCTAAGGCTCGGTGGCTGTTCGTCTTACAAATTAGTAGATGAGCTGCGAGTAAGAGCTAGGTATAAACTAGAGTCGTAAGGCAAATAAATTGCCAACTCTTTACAATGAAATAAATGTTATTATTTATACCACCAGTGAGCAGTAAATCTTTAGCTATGCTAGCTATGCTGTGAAACAAATCTCTAGAAATAAATGTTATTATTTATGTTTGAAATAAATTTATTATTTATAAATTTATACCAGCTATGTTGTGAGTGGCTGATGCCTCAACCACCAAATCTCTAGCATTAAATGATCAAACATAACGATTTAGGGAAGTTTAGCTTGAGATTGTATAACAACATGAATTAATGATCAAACATAACAGTTTAGGGAATGTTTCACACTTAAATGAACAGAACAAAAGAAAGGGAATTGCCACACCCCCACATATCTTCAAAAAAAAAAGGTATTACAACTAACAACTGTAATGATGACTTCACTTCACCTCATGTGGGTTGATAGATTCCGATGAAAGGCATCAACACCGAGCCAATCCACAACTTCCCCTCCCCGTTTTCCTCCACTTCACTTATGAACTTCAAGGTTTTCCCTTCAATGTCCTCTAACACCTCCATGACTTTCCCATCTTCCCCGAGCTTCATAGCAGACGCATGAGGCTTCCCTACCAGTAAGTAGTGCAATTGCTTAAAGCTCAATGGAAGCTTTAACATTGTTATCCCGATCAATGGATATGACACGAACAGGTCAGCGAGAAGTCCTCTTTTTGAATGCAAAGCAACCCAGAATTCTCCTCTTGAATTCCTCCTTATGTTGTCTGGAAATCCCGGCAAGACAGCAAAGATGTCGTGCTTTCCAGCATTGGCTCCTTTAAGCCAATATCTTAACACCTTACCGGTAGTGGTCTCATCTACAAGCACAAAAGATCCATTTTTGCTCAATGCTACCCCATTGGAAAAAGCAATGCCTTCCATTAGAACTGTCACTTCTTTGCTTGTTATGTTATATTTGATCAGCCTTCCCGTCTTGTCTCCACTTAAGATCGATGTCATAAATTGCCTACATATTATGAATTATGAGATCATAAATCCATTTCTGAATGCATATGATAAACTAATCTCATACAAGTCATAGCATAAAAATACAGCCTAACTAAGCTTTTGGTTACTCCTACAAGTTGGACAATGATAGGACCTCAATTATTAAATCATAATAATCTCAATTAAAGTCAAACTAGCAACATATCCAATTAAGGCTAAAAAAGTACAAATTTAATTTAATTTGTTAGTTCAAACAAGTCACGTATAGTGGATTATGTTTAAGAATCATATACCATGCCAGGATGCTGCCATCCGTATATAAAGATAATTGTCATCCTTATATAGAGATAAAAAGCCACATAAGAATATTTATGTTACTTGTATCAGGTTGACTTTTATGATGAAAATTATAACTCTTAAATCTAAGAAAAATCACAAACAATAAAAAACAAACCTGGGTGTAACAATGAAGTCCGGAAAGGGAGCAAAGAACTTACCTGCGCTGAAACCTTGTGCTTGTATCAGTGAAGTAAATGATATCCTCATCCTCATCTATGTCCATATCATTGGTAAAGAGAAGAGTTTGTCCATGAACTTCTTTAACCAGCGGTGTGGATAGTCCTCCGGTAGGCCCAACGACATTAAGGCCCAAGTAAGCATCAGCAATATATAGGTCTCCAGTTTTCTTATCAAACCTTAAGCCCAGTGGCCTCCCACATATGTGCTCTAGTTCAGGAGCGAATGGGAGCACACAATCCTTCCTAGTGGTAATAAAAGTCATTTTTTCATTTTCAAAGAAACGAATAACATCAAATCATTAATAATACTATAATTAACCATAGACTTGTTCTTAGTATGAGCAAAATTAATTTCAGATATAGTTGTCATGGTGTATGGCAACCGTTATGACCGCAAAGGCATCTTTTCCGTGACGATGGCAACCGCTATTTACGCCGTCGGCACATGACACAAAAATTAACTACTAAACATATTAACTACAAGATATAAATGAATAAATCTATAACTCAAACACCAAAAATGGAGCGAAAGAAGTTGATTAACCACATTTTAAACAATATATGTCAAGTTAAAACAATTTAAAGTAGTTCTTGAAATAACTAAAATGGGCATCCAAAATATGTTAACTTGTTGTTCAGGTGCAATGACTATGATTTAGTTATCACGCTCCTTCAGTAGTTTCCTTTCCGCCGTTACCTTTTTAGTCGTGCTCAGTTTTCTCGGAGAGAAACATTAATTGGACAGCATTGTCATTTTTCTAGATTCCATTCTACGTTAACGAGTTGGCGCATATTTTAAACATGTTCAAAATATTGAGCAAAATATGGTGGCGCATATGCAAATATGCAATGGTGAAGCCACAATTGTGCGGTTAGGGAGTCGGACTTGAAATTTTACTCTAGGGTCAAAGTTTAGAATATTATTACTCTCTTTGTATATTAAAATTTGCTGCACTTTCCCTTCCAAGATGTGTTAAAAATTTGTTACATTTTCTCTTTTTGTTAACTTTTTCCTTTACAAATACACCTTTTTAGGATTTATCTTATCTCTCATACTTTTCTACCTCTCTCCTACTTTTTCTTCTCAATGCGGACCCTCGAATATCTGTCCCAAATTGTGGATGTATTCATAACAATCTATGCACCACATCAACCCAAAGTCTACATACGGTCTCAGTAACTGCCCGACCCTAGATTGGTAGACCTGTCAGTACAGCCACAGCTCCCAATTTGATCGTCACCTCACCCACTGGTAAATGGAAAATGTGAGTCTCATGTCTCCAACGCTCAAGTAGAGCTGTAAGT